CAGATGAAACAGTAAAGTATTATATCTATTAAATCGTCTATGATGTAAATTGTGTATAGAATGAAATGGAGGAAGAATGTGTATATCTAATGAAATCCTCCATGTTAGAAAACATGTTAGAAAAGGTGTTAGATCTAACATTCTAACATAAACATTATTTTTGGATCATTTACGCTCATGTTTGACAAAACATGTACGATGAAGAAGTCATGACAAAACATGTACGAAGAAGTCTTGACAAAACATATACGATTAAATCATGACAAAACATATACGAAGAAGTCTTGACAAAACATTTACGCTCATGTTTGACAAAACATTTACACTCATTACGATGAAGAAATCATGACAAAACATTTACGTTCATGTTTGACAAAACATATACGAAGAAGTTTCGACAAAACATGTACGTAAACATTTATTTCCCATGATGTTGTCAAAATGTCATGTTGTCTCATCAGAGAAGTGAAATGACCTGGTGACACATGGTGACCTGGTGACACCTTCAGTTCTTCAAAAATAAAGTATTATTGAATAACCCATGATGTTGTCAAACATGAACGTAAACATTATTTTTGGTTCATTTACACTCATTACGAAGAAGTTTCGACAAAACATGTACGTAAACATTTATTTCCCATGATGTTGTCAAAATGTCATGTTGTCTCATTTTTTCAGAGAAGTGAAATGACCTGGTGACACCTTCAGTTCTTCAAAAATAATTAATTATTGAATAACCCATGATGTTGTCAAACATGAACGTAAACATTATTTTTGGTTCATTTACACTCATTACGAAGAAGTTTCGACAAAACATGTACGTAAACATTTATTTCCCATGATGTTGTCAAAATGTCATGTTGTCTCATTTTTTCAGAGAAGTGAAATGACCTGGTGACACATGGTGACCTGGTGACACCTTCAGTTCTTCAAAATAATTAATTATTGAATAACCCATGATGTTGTCAAACATGAACGTAAACATTATTTTTGGTTCATTTACACTCATTACGAAGAAGTTTCGACAAAACATGTACGTAAACATTTATTTCCCATGATGTTGTCAAAATGTCATGTTGTCTCATTTTTTCAGAGAAGTGAAATGACCTGGTGACACATGGTGACCTGGTGACACCTTCAGTTCTTCAAAAATAATTAATTATTGAATAACCCATGATGTTGTCAAACATGAACGTAAACATTATTTTTGGTTCATTTACACTCATTACGAAGAAGTTTCGACAAAACATGTACGTAAACATTTATTTCCATGATGTTGTCAAAATGTCATGTTGTCTCATTTTTTCAGAGAAGTGAAATGACCTGGTGACACATGGTGACCTGGTGACACCTTCAGTTCTTCAAAAATAATTAATTATTGAATAACCCATGATGTTGTCAAACATGAACGTAAACATTATTTTTGGTTCATTTACACTCATTACGAAGAAGTTTCGACAAAACATGTACGTAAACATTTATTTCCCATGATGTTGTCAAAATGTCATGTTGTCTCATTTTTTCAGAGAAGTGAAATGACCTGGTGACACATGGTGACCTGGTGACACCTTCAGTTCTTCAAAAATAATTAATTATTGAATAACCCATGATGTTGTCAAACATGAACGTAAACATTATTTTTGGTTCATTTACACTCATTACGAAGAAGTTTCGACAAAACATGTACGTAAACATTTATTTCCCATGATGTTGTCAAAATGTCATGTTGTCTCATTTTTTCAGAGAAGTGAAATGACCTGGTGACACATGGTGACCTGGTGACACCTTCAGTTCTTCAAAAATAATTAATTATTGAATAACCCATGATGTTGTCAAACATGAACGTAAACATTATTTTTGGTTCATTTACACTCATTACGAAGAAGTTTCGACAAAACATGTACGTAAACATTTATTTCCCATGATGTTGTCAAAATGTCATGTTGTCTCATTTTTTCAGAGAAGTGAAATGACCTGGTGACACATGGTGACCTGGTGACACCTTCAGTTCTTCAAAAATAATTAATTATTGAATAACCCATGATGTTGTCAAACATGAACGTAAACATTATTTTTGGTTCATTTACACTCATTACGAAGAAGTTTCGACAAAACATGTACGTAAACATTTATTTCCCATGATGTTGTCAAAATGTCATGTTGTCTCATTTTTTCAGAGAAGTGAAATGACCTGGTGACACATGGTGACCTGGTGACACCTTCAGTTCTTCAAAAATAATTAATTATTGAATAACCCATGATGTTGTCAAACATGAACGTAAACATTATTTTTGGTTCATTTACACTCATTACGAAGAAGTTTCGACAAAACATGTACGTAAACATTTATTTCCCATGATGTTGTCAAAATGTCATGTTGTCTCATTTTTTCAGAGAAGTGAAATGACCTGGTGACACATGGTGACCTGTGACACCTTCAGTTCTTCAAAAATAATTAATTATTGAATAACCCATGATGTTGTCAAACATGAACGTAAACATTATTTTTGGTTCATTTACACTCATTACGAAGAAGTTTCGACAAAACATGTACGTAAACATTTATTTCCCATGATGTTGTCAAAATGTCATGTTGTCTCATTTTTTCAGAGAAGTGAAATGACCTGGTGACACATGGTGACCTGGTGACACCTTCAGTTCTTCAAAAATAATTAATTATTGAATAACCCATGATGTTGTCAAACATGAACGTAAACATTATTTTTGGTTCATTTACACTCATTACGAAGAAGTTTCGACAAAACATGTACGTAAACATTTATTTCCCATGATGTTGTCAAAAATGTCATGTTGTCTCATTTTTTCAGAGAAGTGAAATGACCTGGTGACACATGGTGACCTGGTGACACTTCAGTTCTTCAAAAATAATTAATTATTGAATAACCCATGATGTTGTCAAACATGAACGTAAACATTATTTTTGGTTCATTTACACTCATTACGAAGAAGTTTCGAACAAAAACATGTACGTAAACATTTATTTCCCATGATGTTGTCAAAATGTCATGTTGTCTCATTTTTTCAGAGAAGTGAAATGACCGGTGACACATGGTGACCTGGTGACACCTTCAGTTCTTCAAAAATAATTAATTATTGAATAACCATGATGTTGTCAAACATGAACGTAAACATTATTTTTGGTTCATTTACACTCATTACGAAGAAGTTTCGACAAAACATGTACGTAAACATTTATTTCCCATGATGTTGTCAAAATTCATGTTGTCTCATTTTTTCAGAGAAGTGAAATGACCTGGTGACACATGGTGACCTGGTGACACCTTCAGTTCTTCAAAAATAATTAATTATTGAATAACCCATGATGTTGTCAAACATGAACGTAAACATTATTTTGGTTCATTTACACTCATTACGAAGAAGTTTCGACAAACATGTACGTAAACATTTATTTCCCATGATGTTGTCAAAATGTCATGTTGTCTCATTTTTTCAGAGAAGTGAAATGACCTGGTGACACATGGTGACCTGGTGACACCTTCAGTTCTTCAAAATAATTAATTATTGAATAACCCATGATGTTGTCAAACATGAACGTAAACATTATTTTTGGTTCATTTACACTCATTACGAAGAAGTTTCGACAAAACATGTACGTAAACATTTATTTCCCATGATGTTGTCAAAATGTCATGTTGTCTCATTTTTTCAGAGAAGTTAAATTACCTGTTGACACATGGTGACCTGGTGACACCTTCAGTTCTTCAAAAATAATTAATTATTGAATAACCCATGATGTTGTTGTCTAAATGTCATGTTGTCAGTAATTTTAAGAGAAGTTAATTAACCTGGTGACCTGGTGACGTAGTGATACCTAAAAACCCTCTACCCTAAACTTTATTTTTGCTGAATTCAGCAACAAAATGAACGAGGTCAGGATGTATGCAAATACCTTTGAATTCATTCATAAATGCCTTATTAAGCTCATAAAATGTTTGTTTTGAGGTCGAGCCACTTTTGGCTTGACCGTATTCTTTCAACCAAAACTCAAGAATTTCCTGTGTGAATTTTGTATAAAAACCAACCGTCTGAATTCCGACGGTTGCTATATTCTTCACAAAACGCCTTATAATACTCTTCGTTCTACAAAGCAAGCATATCATTGGTTTGAAAACCAACAGACAAAAGAACTTTTAGAAGAATTTCCTCATATGATTGCTTCCCTCGGAAAACCGAGAGAAGAGATTCCGTACGAAAATTCATGAGGGTAGAAATGAGGTGAGAAAAGAGGTGAGATCTAACATTCTAACATAAACATTATTTTTGGATCATTTACGCTCATTACGATGAAGTTTTGACAAATTCATTGACGATGAAACCATGACGAAACCATTTACGATGAAGAAGTTTCGACAAAACATATACGATGAAGTTTCGACAAAACATGTACGATGAAGAAATCATGACAAAACATGTACGATGAAATCATGACGAAACCATATACGTTCATGTTTGACAAATTCATTGACGATGAAATCATGACGAAACCATATACGTTCATGTTTGACAAATTCATTGACGATGAAACCATGACGAAACCATTGACGATGAAATCATGACAAATTCATTGACGATGAAATCATGACAAATTCATTGACGATGAAATCATGACAAATTCATTGACGATGAAATCATGACAAATTCATTGACGATGAAATCATGACGAAACCATTCACGTTCATGTTTGACAAATTCATTGACGATGAAATCATGACAAATTCATTGACGATGAAATCATGACAAACCATTCACGTTCATGTTTGACAAATTCATTGACGATGAAATCATGACAAATTCATTCACGTTCATTACGATGAAGAAATCATGACAAAACATGTACGATGAAGAAATCATGACAAAACATGTACGTTTAGTTTCGATGAAACCGATTTTAAAAATAAATGAAACAAAGGAGGATGAAATAAATGAAAGTGGAAATGTTCAACAAAAAATAAACGTTGTTAAACCAAATACCAGTATTTAGCATTATCTAAAGTGAAGAATGCCTCTTGTAAACATGTATCACATCTATAAAATCTATCTTTAAGCATCACTTGATATGTATCCTCTCCTATTTCTCTTATGTTTTTAAACTTATTTGACATACATGCAACGCGTGCCTTCTGTGCATTCATTATTTTAGTCTTTGCGTAATTTTGTGTATTCATTGCATCGTAACCATATGATCCATTAAGTGAAATCTTGCAAAATAAACTTTTTCCTTTATTTCCTTCTAATTCAGCCTTTTGTCTTTCGTTCATAAATTTGTTCGCAAATTCATTAAAACAAGTGTTTTTAGTAAATGTTAAAATTGATTGAATGTCATCAATGATAAAATGAAATCTGTCGATTAGATACCAAAGATAATAAGAAGAAAATGGTTGATATTGGTTGTGTGTTGATGCTAACTGAGTTAATTTTCTCTGTTTCTGGTCAACTGGTAGATTGTTTGATTTCATGTAATTATACATAAAACTGCCAATTGTTTTTTCATCTGTGATAATATCTAAGTTTCTTATTATCGGTAAAAAGTTTATGTAATCATTAATGTATTTTTCATCAATGTGACCCTTTACTTCAGCCACGAATAAAGTATTTTTCTTCTTAATAATTCCCAATGCTTTTGCTTTCTTTGTTGCTGTATCACAAATGATAACACCATCCTCTAAAATTCGATAATCTATTTTATCTGGTTTTACTTGTTGGGTCATTTATGTAAGAATAAAAAATAAATTATGTTTAAAATTAATGTTAAAAATAATGATACAAAATCGTTCAATATTGTATGAATTCTTACGTTTACAAAAAATGTCACAAAACCCACCCTACCCTACTACTATAAGTTTTTTAAAATAGATATCAAAAATTAAATATAAAAAAGAAAATAATTAAGAATATTAAAGTAAATTCTTTATTAAGAAACAATAAAATGAAAATATAAAACTTTGTATGATTTGAGTGGATATTGAGAGTAATTTGTGAGTGTGCTTCAGCTGCATATGTAAGATTGTTCGGATTTAATTAAAAATTGTAAATTTTTTGTCTTTATATCAAACTATTCGACAAAACTTTGTATGATTTGAGTGGATATTGAGAGTAATTTGTGAGTGTGCTTCAGCTGCATATGTAAGATTGTTCGGATTTAATTAAAAATTGTAAATTTTTTGTCTTTATATCAAACTATTCGACAAAACTTTGTATGATTTGAGTGGATATTGAGAGTAATTTGTGAGTGTGCTTCAGCTGCATATGTAAGATTGTTCGGATTTAATTAAAAATTTTTCTTTGGTCTTCCTCTTTCTTTTATTGGATAGCCGAGTAGTACGAAAATTTTTTTCAAACGTTCTTTTCCTATTGAAAGTGTTTTTGCCGTATCTTCGAGAGTTACATTTGGATTATTAATGTATTCTTGATATTTTTCTTCAATTACGTTGAGAACCTGATCGGCGGGAACAGTTGGGAGTTGAAAAGTTTTAAGATCTTCTGGGTTTTCGAGACGAACCAAGATGTCTTCCATTTTTTAATTTGTAAATTTTTCAATTTTTCAAAAGATAATTTAAAAATACTAGTTATTTGATAAAATTTGTTTATTTTAAATAAAACAATTTTTTTGAAAAAAATTATATTAATGATTTGAAGGCAAAAGCCAAAAACTTAATAGATAAAACGCTCTTTCGATATAGATCAACTTCTATTATTAAATTTATAAAAATGGAGAGATTTTAAAAAAGGCAGTGGGGCTTCCAGGCACTTCGTGCCCTCTAGCCCCGAAGATGTTTAGTATAAATGAAGTTTTTATTCGGAAAATTGTTAGTCTTCTGGTGTGAATTCGGAGGACTCTTCTTCTTCCTCCATTGCTTCTGGGAAGAAGCCTTCTTCTGGGTCGAAAACATTATATAATGTGTCGCTTTTCACAAATTATATATGTTTTCATGTTTTGTCACTTTTCTGTCACTTTTCGGGTAAAAACATTTTTATTATTATATATAAATGAATTTTACAAAACCACCGTTACCGTTCTTTGGAAATAAGAGTAGATGTAAAGATATTATATTGAGAGAACTTAAGAAACTACCGAATGGTCTAACATTTGTAGATTTGTTCGGTGGAAGTTTCTATATATCCCATTTGTGCCATACAATATTCCCAGACTCAAAGATTATATGCAATGACTTCGACAACTATATGGACCGTCTCAAACATATACCAGACACAAACAATATATTGAAAGAGTTAAAAGAAAAGATACCTATAGGTAAGATGGAACGTATACCATTAGATAAGAAAAATATTGTGAGAGAGGTTTTGAAAAAAGCAGAATATATAGACTGGGATAGTATATCTGCTAGACTATTATATAGTGGTGCTATAAGAGTTCATGACATTGAAACACTTATGTCAAAAGTTTTATATCTTAACTATACAAATGTTTTCAAAGAGGACATAGAAAAATATATTGAGGGTATAGAGTTTGTGAGATGTTATTGGACAGAGTTGTATGAAAAATATAAAGACAAGGAAAATGTTTTCTTTATAGTGGACCCACCGTTCTATAACACATGGGATTTTCAATACCAAGTAGACTGGACTTTGAGAGACTCTTTAGAAACTTTAGACGTTATACATAACCATCCATGCTTTTACTTTACATCCGATAAAAGTGGTTTGGAAACCGTTATGAGATGGTTAGAGGACATACATGACTATGAGTTTAGATATGACAAGATAGAATATGAGAGAGGTCCTATAAACCGGAGAAAGTGTCATAACAAAGAAATTTTATTAGTAAGTAAATGTGGTTTGAAATAGGACTACTTGTTTTAGGTTTTTTCCATTGTGTCATTTATTTATTTGACGTGGCAGAAAAGTACAGAGAATATGAAGATGAACCAATGCCTGCAAATGTTCAGTATATGTACTCGTAAGAGATATTTTTATCTAATATTAAATGGACGCACAGAACTTAGCGAATGCACAGCAACCTGGACAACAGGACAACCACCAGAGAATATTCCAAATGAAGTTAGAATACAAACTGCAATGGCAAACTATGGTCAAGTGCCAACAGATGTACAAATGCAAACTGCCATGTCAAATGACGCTGCGTTAGGTTTGCCACCATGGTATGCAAATATGAGATGGAAAGAGTTTTATACAAACCCTGAAGTGGGATATAAACAACTTTATGCAGATGACGCGAACACAGGAGTTGACCCAGAATATGTTTTCTACCAGAGGAGAAACAGAATGTATGAGCTCCAGTTAAAGAATGCTATGGAACTCAACAGGAAAGTAAGAGACTAGGCGGACATTAGATTTTTACATATAGTAAAATGGGTTTCTTCAGTAGTATTGGAAACTTCTTCAGAAGAGTTGGAAGAGGTATATGGAATGGAATAAAATCTGTCGGAAAAGGAATTTGGAACGGAGTCAAAAATATTGGTAAAAGAGTAGGTCAGTTCGTTGGTATTATACCTAAAGACCCTGAACCAGAAGAACAAGCTCCTGTTATACAACAGCCTGAACCTGCACCACAGTCTAGTTGGCAACCAAATCCAACACCTCAACCGTATTAAAAAATTATATTTTTACCGTTCGATAGTAGTTGTATATGAAACTAAGTTCTAAGTAAAACGCATGGTATAATGGAATTATTCTTTTTCTTCCATCTGTAGTAAACCATACTTGAAAGTCTGAAATACTTCCACTTGGTGGTTCGTATAACTTTGTAGGTTTTTCGTAAAAGTCATTTGCCAAGCATAAGAAAGAGTTTTGGGCGCCAGAAAATGAAGCATGAACAATAATAGCAGCTGGGTCGAAAACATCTTTAAATAAATATGGTTCATCTCTTGCATATCGACTGTAAATATTTGCTAAAGGAAGTTCGACTTTCTGATTTAACATTCTTTGCAAATAATACCATGACATTGCAGTGAATTCTGTATATATTTGTTCGTCTTTCTTTGGATTGTCTTCGTAGATTTGAAATGACACTTGTGAATTTTGTTTGTCATATACAATTCTCACATAAAGTGTGCTCTCGGTATTTGCATATTCATCAGCATATTTTGCATAACATGAATTTATTTTATCTTCTATATTTTTTAACGCAGTCTGTAGAGAAGATGAAAGGTCAACTTGTATTAGCTCAATTTCTTCCCACATTTTTCGTTTCCCTTCAGATATATAATCTATATGAAACCTTACAATAAATGGAAAACTTTTATCTTCTACAGACACAAACTTCATTCTACGAAAGCCAATAGCTTTTGTGACAGATGGGTCTCTTAGCCATCTTAATGGGTAGTCAAAACGATAGCCTTCATGCTTTACGGTCTCTGTCTCAAACTTTTGACCGACATTAGTAAAAAGTTCATCTAATGGTTTAGTTGTAGCAACTCTTGAATTTTCTTTTTCTATTGGAAGCATATTTTATCTAGAATAAAAATGTCAAATGAAACAGCGTCTATGAGAGAAATACAACACAACCGACAACTCATTATACAAGCTCTAAATAAGAACACAACAAACTTTTCAAACTATTCTAAGATATCTGAGTCATTGAAAGAAGGAAACTTAAAACTGACATTAAACCCAATGACAGATGAGTTTCTGTTTCAAGACAATAAGAACCATACTGTCTGTATAAATCCAACAAAAGGAACTTTAAACGAGAAACCTATAAATGAACTTCTTTTGAAAACGGATGTTGACAACAAAGCTGACAAAGAATATGTAGACGATGCAATAGCAAAAGAAGAAGAAAGAGCTAACAATGCTTATGCAACAAAAGAACATACTCATCCTGAACTAGCAGACAAACATATGTTGACAATAAAATGTCAAGTGAAGTGACAAGAGCTGAAAACGAATATTCTAAAAAGACTCATATACATTCTATATCTGAAATAACAGACTTACAAGAAACCTTAAACAGTAAAAGTGCCGTTGGACATACACATACCATTGCAAATATTACAAACTTACAAGAAACCTTAAACAGGAAAAGTGCCGTTGGACATACACATTCTATATCTGAAATAACAGACTTACAAGAAACCTTAAACAGTAAAAGTGCCGTTGGACATACACATTCTATATCTGAAATAACAGACTTAAACGTTAGCCTTGAAAAGAAAGCAGACAAGAACCATACACATACAAGTTTTACAACTGTTGCTATAGAAAGTATTGAAGGAACGGTTGAAGAAACTGGTGGGGATGCATTATATTGTAAACCTCCTAACTTTCCACAAGGTTTAACATCGGATGACGACATAACGACGATGAGAAACATTAGATGTAAAGATGTTTATGTCATGAAGGATGAACATAATATTAAATTCACTGCTCAAGATTTATATGACAAGAAAGCAGACAAAAAAGAGCTTCAAACATTAAAGACAGAAATACTTCAAACATTATATCCTATAGGCTCTATTTATACGTCAATGAACTCTACCAGACCAGAAGTAGTACTTGGTTTTGGAACTTGGACTCAAATAGTCGACAGGTTTTTGTATTGTGCAAACTCTTCAAAGGAAACAGGAGGAAGTAAAACGATTTCAGGTGAAAATTTACCTGCGCACAGTCACTACATAGATTTAAGTACATCTCAAGCAGGTTGGCATAAGCATAAATTTTGGGATTGGTCAGCAATGAAAAAAGGTAAAGGATATGATGTTAAAGACGACGTTCAGTTTGCTATAAATTGTTTCTGGGTGACACTCAGGGAGATGGAAACCATACACATCGCGTTTCGGGATATACGCAAACAACGGGACAAAGTAAAGAATACATGCCACCTTACATGACAGTTTACGCATGGTATAGAAATGCTTAGTCGTCATTTTCAACTTCTTTAGCATATTCGTCAGGAGTTGTCTTATATTTGTTAGGAACTGTCTTTGAAAGTATACCACCTTGAACTTTGACAAGTTTGAAACGAGGTCTGACAATAGTAGTTTTATCTTCTGCTTGCAGTCTGTACATTTTGCCATGTTTGCCTAAAACTTCATAATATTCTCTTGTATACTTTCTTCTATTTTTACGAACACGAATGTGAGTACCTGTCGGGTTCCCATTGTTGTCATAGTCAATAGTATTTTCATATGGGTCGCGTTTAGGTATTTCTATTTTTACTTTGTCACCTTTCTGAAGTTTGAAGCCCGGCATTCTTTCTTGTTTGTCTCTTTTGACTAAATTATTAAATATATAGTCTTTCTCTAAGTCAGGGTTGTTTTTCATTTCTTCGGGGGAGTGGTTTCCCAAACCTTTTTGTTTACGGTTATTGTAAATATTTAAAACTTGTCTCATCTTTGCCATGGAGAAGTGTCTATATTTGTCGTCATATGACATTTCATTTGCTTCACCACCTTGTGGTTGGTTTAAGTCTCTTAACATTTTTATACAACCGTCAATGACACCAAGAGCAGAATGGTTTTGGTCGACAATGAAATATTGGTTTACATTTTTTGAACGCAGATAGTTTTTTACATCATCTGATTTGAAAGAACTTTCACAGTCAGATGTCAGTTTTGTTGGATGGTATTTGTCAACGAATATTGTCAAAGCAGTTTTCACATCTAAAATATTTTTGGACCATAATGGTATGGCTTCACAGTATCTTGTGTTTTGACCGACAAATATTAGCCAGTATGGTGGTCCATCTTCTCTATACCTCGGAATGTTTTCCAAGATATCCATAAACCAAGCATTTGGTGTTGAACTAAAGATTTTTATCATGAGTGCTTTCTTTGTCGCTTTAGAAACATAGGGGTCCTTGTTTGGATTCGTCATTTTTTATCCTATAAGAAATGGGTTTATTTGGCGCATTAGCAGGAGTTGCATCCAGATTTTTGCCCGCAGTGGGAACAATAGCCAGAGGTGTATTTGGAGTTGGAAGGAAGATTTTGAGTACATTAGGTATACTTAAAGAGAAAGCACAACCTATTATACAAACTGTACAGAAAGGTTGGGATGTAGCACGAGATGCAACAAATCTTATTCCAAATCCTGAAACAAGAGGAAAAGTTCAAGGATGGATGGACAATGTAGGAAGACAAGCAGGAAACTATTATAACAAAGCAAATGACTACTATAACCAAGCAGGACACTATATGGACCAAGGTGAAAGATTCTTTAACAGAGGATATAACCATGCACAACAATGGGTAAACAATAACCAACCTCAACCGCCTCAAACGTGGGGAATGTAAAGTTTTTTACTGAGATGAAATGAACAATACAGCATTGAGACAAATGGGTTCAAGATGGATTTGTCGGCTTCCAGCAGTTACACAACGTGTTTGTCAAGTTCTTCCTATACCTCAGGAAGTTTTAGACCGACTTAAAAAAAACAACAACCAGTTGAAAACAAACCAAACTAAAATTTTTTACTGAGATGAAATGACCGAAGAAGTTGAAACGGTAGATTTGACACCACAAACAAAAAGTTCAGAACCATTGTCAAAACCTGTCAAAGAACTTACAGATGAAGAGAAAAATTCAATAATAGAAAGTGCCAGGTCTGGAAATACAAACCCTAACTACAAAGTCACTTTTCATAAAAATGGAACGGCAAGTATCTCAAAAAAGAAACAGACTCTCACAAATAAAATATTGAAGTCTGAAGGAGCTTTCGAGACAACAGATGGAAAAGTTTACTTCACTGACCAACAGTTCATTATAGAACATCTCATTGACTTAGAGTCGAAATATTCTAAACTTTACAACAAACACAAAAAGTTGAAAGGAAAACAAAAACAAATGGCATATGATATTTATGAAGATGTTGACGACACAACTGTTCCTGCAAGTGAAGTAAAGTCAGAGAACCGAAAAGTGACGAAAAACCGATAGAAGAAGAAAAACCAAAAACTGAAGATAAACCAAACACCAAAGTTTAGTTGGAAACTAAACCAAGTCAACCTTCATTAGCTGGTATGGGTTGGCGTCAAAGACTTATTGGCAGCAGGCGGTTATGTAAAGTAAAAAAAAAAATATTTTTTATTTTTATAAAAATGCCCCCATATAGAATGGATAGAAAGTCTGCTAGAATAAAAGCAGAGTTACAAAGATATGGTTGGAGAGTTTCGAAGAATTTTAAATATAGGAAGGGAAGACCCATAAAAGTCTATGACAAATTGTCTGGTCTTCGCTACGAATGGATTTGGAAACAGCACGTGCAAATTATCCAAACAGACTAGAGAGGTTAGAAGAAGAACGTCTTATGGACATGCCTTTCGATGTTAGTGAACCTCAAGTTGAAGGACACGACGGCTTGCCAGATTCTACTGGAAACATGACGAACAATTGCATCCTTTGAGAAGGAAAAAAGGTAGTGCAGAGGATGGTCATGCTCCCATGGAAAGAACAAGATATGCATATGAGAAGTACCGTGAAGTTAGAAGTCAAATTACATCTGGTCGAACCTTTACAGTAAACTTTGACGAAGGAAAGAACAAAGAAGGCTTCATGGGTGTACTGCTGCAATTCAAGAATGGAAATAAGAAAGGATACAATCTCAGATTGACCATAACAGATTTGGATGGTCACATTTACTATGCACATGGCAATGTCACAACAGCTGCAATGCTTCTTGACGCTTTCAAGACTACAAAGAGAGAACAAATGGTTGACTCCGACTCAGACATTTTGAATGCAATTGAAGGAATTGCAAGTGTCAAGTTCGAATGGTACCAACCTAACCCTCAAGCAGTCAGACAACATGCTGGATACTTCCCCTTCATAAATAAGTCTGACATTGACTTGACAAGGTATGGAATTTACAATTCAATTGAAACAATTGTCAATGAACCTTGCATTCTTACATGTCTCAGGAACTCTGGTCTTGTTTACAGAAGAGAAGATGAAGTATCTTGAGTCATGTGTGAAGACAAGGTACATTCTCAGAGGTCAATTGGCAAAAATTGCACCGTTGGCAAATGTCAATATCCGAGTCAGCATACCTACAGCTAAAGGTTCTTCACATGACGACTATGTTGTTGACAAAGACTTACCATGGTTGAAGATTGTAATTGTCCACAACCACTTCATGTTGAACGAAAGTCTTACAAACCCATTGTTCGGAAAAGGCAAGTGCAACATTGTCAGAGCTGTAAACATTCTTTTCGAGAAAGGTTTGTTGGAACCAATTCCAGATGACAAGCTGACAGAAACTTTTGTACCAAAAGACGAAACAAACTTTTCACTGTTAGCAAGACCAAAAGTTGTTCCAGACAAAGTTCTAGTACAAAAGAAGTACACAATTCCACAAGGAGTTGGATTGTTCGGATACCAACCTGAACCAGAAGAACTTCCAATGAGGTTGCAAGAACTTCAAGATGCTATAAACAAACTTCCATTGAGACATCCAATTGACGTCAAATTGTATTGGAGAGCATCTGAGTTAGGTCAGAAGGTTTTATATGAAACAGGTTGCTTCGACGATGTTTATGAGATAACAGGAGAAGTTTCTCAGAAGATAAGAGACTCACTTGAATTTCCACAAACTGGACCAATTGGTTGCGACAAGTTCGACTCAAACGAAAAGATATACTATGTCGACCTTAACGCTGCATACATGAGGTTTGTCCAATATATTCCGACTGGAATTCCAAACGAAGATGGTGAGTTCCCGGGAAGGAACTATACAGTTGGAAAAGTCATACAACAACTGTATGATATTAGGAAAGCTTCAAACCCCAAACTTGCAATGACACTCAAATTGCTTATGAATTCGACATGGGGATATTCCATTAAGAAACCTCAAGAGATGAAGAGTAAACATTATGAGAAGGTCGACAACTTTGTTGAAAGGTTTTCTCCTTTTGTTTTGAAGTACGAATTCACTCAAGGTCAAAGTGGCTTAGTAACCACATTAAAACCTATTGTCGAACATTGGTCTTACCCTCAGTTCGCAAAGGCAGTCCTTGACAACTACAACAAATTCTTCTCCGAAGTCAAATCGAAAGTTGTGGTTTACTATGAGAACATTGACGCACTCATGACGAACGAAGAAGGGTACAACAAACTCATTGAAATGGGTTTAGGTCGGTGAAAGATGGGTCATTCAAATTGGACAAAATTTTCACCGAAGTTCATGTCCTCTCCAAGCGTAAGTACTGGGGCATACTTGAAGACGGCACAGAAATAAAACATTGCATGAAATAAAAAATTTTTATATTCCTTCCTAGCTAATTTCCGTTTAATTTCATGGTCGCCCTCGGAGTCTTTGAATCGGACAGGTCGAGTTACACCATTCTTGGTCTCAAACTCATATATAACCTGTTTGTCTGTATTTTCGTCGACTATGGCACGAGACACGAACATTGACCAAACGGACAAAAAAGTGTCATTTTCGGATGGTCACGCAGCCAATCGCATTCGAGCACTTCGAAGAAGCCTTACGTTCCAAGGGAGAGGGTGTCTGGTGCAAGGCAGAGGTCATGAAACTCTACGAGCAGTACATCCTCAATGCCTGGGAGGACAAATCGTCCTTGGATTGGCAATTCTACCAACTCCTCTGGGACGACCTCCTACGCAACTGGGATAACGAAAGAGCCAATTCAAAGGTCGGGAACTAATTTTGCAAATTACCCTTAATTTAACATACTTATCCAAATAAACACCTAAATTTACTTGGGGTTTCCCCTAAAATAAAATTTTTTTACTCTTAGAACCACTCGAGGTTCTCCTTACGGTTGTTGAGCTTGTCACCGTCAATGTGTCTGACCCTCGACTCTTGTCTGGATTTGGAACCCATTGCATGCCGACAAGCCTTCCCATGGAAACTGAACCGTAATTTCGAAGGTTAAGGTTCAAGTGTCCCAAGTTGTTGAGGACTGGGGTAAGAACCTTGCCTGTCGCCTTGTTGCGGATTTTGTATGGGTAGGGTTGGGAAATTTCGTAAGCGTCATCGACAACAAGGGTTGCCCAAACTTCCTTTTCTTCGTGTTTCTCTTCTTCTTCTTCCTCTTCTTCCTCTTCTTTGATAATACCTTCGGCAATTCTGTGTTCACGAAGTACGGTGTTGCATGTTCTGTCCTTTCCGAGTACCTTCCAGATGGCGTCTATCTCTTCGAAGAAACGGTAGATGAGTCGGGCAAGGTTTTGGTTCTCTATGTTGTATTGGCGCAAGGTTTCCGCGAAATCGTTCAGGACTTTCTCATTGGAAGCTTGGTTCATGAGGACATTGGCTTTGAGATTGGTTATCTCTTCCATAAGACTACTTTGGAGAGTCTTAATGTGTTTGACAGATGAGCGTTCAATTGGGCAATTTGAATTTGAACTGGGCGCTTTTCTGGCAACCTTGAAAGGACATCTTCCATTGAGTTTGGCTTCGGTGCTTGTTCGGACATCGAAAAAATGAAGTAGTTTGAGAATGGCGGTTTTACTTCAAAAAGCTTGTTATGACAGTTATGTCATACAACAAGTTTAAAATAATATCTTGTTCTTCTTCTGAACGTTTGTTGTCTCTTCCGATAAAAGTTTGGAACATGAGAACCAAAAAACGTTTTTTGAGGAACCGAAAGAGTTCAGGCAAACGTTCATATTCCGGATATGTTGGGAGCAGTTCGAAACATCTGAGCTGACTTTCGGACAAAATTGGGACAATGTCAACAAATTCATCTTTGGTCGGACTGCTTGAAGGTAAGTCCCTTACATGTAAGTAGCTCTGGTAAAGTCTTCTCATTTCTGCTAACTTTTGGAGTATAGCTTCGTAGTTTAGAAGTTTTAATTTTAATTGTCTTATTCCACTCTTGACATCTAAACGGTAACTATCCATGATGTCAAGAGTAGCTTTGGTAGCTTTAAGTGGAGCTATCTGTTCCTTGACCTCTGCAATTTTGGTTGCAATTGTGATTTGAGCTCCTTCAAGTTCGCCGTCTATGTCGTTCTCAACGTCTTCAACGATGGCTTGAAACTCTTCATCGGTCCATTCAGATTGGTGTGGGACGAATTTAACTTGCTTCATTCAAAAAATGAAAAAAATGTTTTTACTCAAAACGTTAAGGTTGACTGAACTGGTTGGATGTCGCCTTCACAGGTTATGTAGAACGGCTGACCCGAGAAGTTAAGGAGAGACTGAATTGCCAATTTCATATGGGGTAGGGGTTCTCCTTGTTTGGTATTTTTATCCAAGGACGTTTGTTTAGGAACTTAAACAAGAGCTTCTCTTTTGGCGTCCTTTATGCCATCGAAAGGTGTTTTCTGGTATTTGAATTGGAATTCCAGTCGAAGTCTCGAGATTCAAGACAGCCCTCCAGAAATAGCGGTGAACTTGACCTTGGGCTTCATTACCCTGCGCAAGTACTGCTTAACAACTTCATTTATCTCTATAAGGTAAATGCCTCGTCAAATCCTTCTGGCATTCCGAGTCCTTCCATCCGACAGGAAAATATTTTCCCGACAACTGGAAAAAATTTTCCGGACAAAGGGAAAAATTTTTCCTTCCGACAGGAAGAACTCTTCCAGTTGTCCGTCCGTAAACCATTCAAATTTTCGAAAATTGAGAACTTTTTGGTCGAACTTCAGGAAAAATTTTCCTTCCGACAGGAAAAGTTTTCCTTCCGACAGGAAAATATTTTCCATCCGACAGGACACAAACGAATGACTGACGTTCCTCTTCCTGAATGCCTTCCAAAGCCAGAAGAACCGAAAGCTGCAGAACCACAACAGTCTCCTCAGCAACCTCAGTTCCAGCAAGTACCTCCACCAAATTACTACCAATTTCCATCTCAAGGTTACTACCAATTTCCACCTCAAGGTTACTACCCACACAAGGCTTCCCGAACTACCCTCCTCCTCAGCCTATGCCTTACTTCCCCAACCCTTGGATGTTCCAGCAAGCTCCACCCCAGCAATTCCAATCTCAATCCAAATCGAAGAGAGACCAAGAGTCGAAGAAGGTCTGAACCGCTTACGCAAAGATTATGCCACAGCCCCTATGGAAGACGACAGGCTTTCAGTCTCTTCCCTCAAATCGACCGATTCGACTCGTACCACAGATTCAGTTCGTGACCGTGAAGACTACCTCAAGCAGTCTGAGAGACTCTTCATCCTACAATCATTTACAGTTGGAGCTCTCAAGAACATGCGCAATTACGAAGGTCAGACACCAGCTGGAGACCGCAAAACAGACGTACTCGCAAGAGCCGTCCAGCTCGTCAAAACAAAGACTGAGATAGTCGACTTCATTCTTGCAGCTTGCCCATACAAGTAAAAAAAAATAAACAATTACGAGTTAAACTTTTTATTCTTCTTTTCTGAGTTGTTTAGAGCTGGTTTCTCTTGTAGGAACCTTTCGTACTCTTCCATGGTCATGTAATTGCGAATTTTGTACGCAATTCCAGGTTCGTTGTTTTGAACCTTACGTATGTAACGCTTCCATCCTCCTCAGGGAAGTAAGCTGCTAACATCTGACCAAGTTTTCTCGGTGACTCGGAGCTCATTAAAAATGTCACTTTTTAAACGTTAAGTTTTTAGTCTTATTTTACCCTTGTTTACCCTTTGTTTGTCAAGGTAGTATTGGAGTGCAATTTCTCCAAATTCTCTGTGTCGGAGTTCTTCAGCATTTTCCAAGGTGTACCTGGAGAACTCAAAGAAGTTGTCAAGAAGATACTGCCATGCTGCTCTTCTGAGTTCGTCGGTATTTTGGAAGTGTTGCACCTTCGAGTCTTCGGACATGAAAAAAAAATGACACTTTTTCGTGAATTTCCTTAAGACAGAAAAAAATAAAGTTAGTTTTATTTTTATTTATTTTTTTTTTTGTATGTAAGAACAGAAATGACAAACATTGAGTTTGAAACAGTTAAAAAGATAGACAATGACACCAAAGTGGTTAGAATAGGTGATTTAAACGTAAGATACTCAAAGAAATACAACAAATATTCTTTGTCAGACATTTTATCTCCATCTGGAAAGAAAACATACCATTGGGTTGGAATTGCTTCTACTCAGAAAATTTTGACAAGAAATCCTGAGCTTATGATATCGGTAAGATTCTATGGAACTACAGCATATCTCATCGACAAAAGTCTTATACCAATAGTTTTGTTATGGATTGACCCAGTTGTTGGATATAACTTCATAACATATGGTTCATTCGATACGGAACGTTGCAGTGAAGGCTTACTTTACATCGTTCAGAAACCGAAGGACTTCAACACAAAAAGATATAAGATAGGAAGAACATATAATATAACTCAAAGATATGACAGTACAGTCAATAGAGTCAAGGTTGTGTTCGTTAATGATATGAGAGCTGCTGAAACAGAACTGCTTGAAGTTTTTGAGAAAATGTATGGTGCTCCCACGAAAGGTAAAGAAACGTTTGAAGTAGATGAGATAGATAAAGCTATAAAATTATTTGACGAAGTTGCTGAAAAATACATGTAAAGCGTTTATTTTTGGTCTTTTGTGAAAGTCAGAAAATAACGCTAATTTTTTATAAAATTTGACGAAGTGCAAATCTTCACTTCGTGTCATAATGTAAAAATAACGCTAATTTTTGACGAAGTGCAAATCTTCACTTCGTGTCATAATGTAAAAATAACGCTAATTTTTGACGAAGTGCAAATCTTCACTTCGTGTCATAATGTAAAAATAACGCTTACCATGTAAAACCGAGAGAAGAGATTCCGTATGAAAACAGTGAAGAACAGCGAGTACGTAAAAAAACGTAGTCGCCAAAACTCTATGAAAACAGTGAAGAACAGCGAGACCGACTTTTTTCTGGGTCGCCTAAAACTCATGAAAATCGTGAAAAATAACAGAGTATTTTGACAACTTCAAACAAGTAGGGTAGATGACACTTTTTCTATTAAACCGTTTTGACATTTCTCATGAGTGAGTATAGTTCTGCCGAACCATTGGAAGAGAAGAAGTACCCTTGCTGGCAAAAGACAAAAATAGTTGCCTTAGTTGTCATTGCAATTGTACTCGTAATTGAATTCATTGTACTTCTCTTCACGTACCTAAAACTCAAGGACGGCATATGCTTTAAGAAGCTACCATCTTACTAAGACTAAACACTTAGATTTTTCAAGCTTGACTTTTTACAATTTGAACTTTGTTCGCGTAGATATGAATTCTGAAAGAAGTATGAGGGTCTTGTATGACTTTGTACTTCTCCCATAGTTCATGTCTGTCAAACTTACCTGCCATGGACTCTTTCATAAGTTCCATGAAATCGTCTTCGGACAATCCGGGGAAAAGTATAATGTCAGTAAGTATTCTCTTTACATCCTTACTTAAACTCTTTGCTGTCTGTACACAAATGACAACTGAGATGTTAAAGTGTCTGAGCTTCTTAAGAATTCGACACATATCTTGTTCTCTGTTCTTTAACAAAGGATGAGAAGGCAAAGTCATCTAAGATAAGAAGACATCTATGAGGGTAAGTCTTCCAATCGTAAGATTGCAATTTCTTCGAAATGTATTCTATCTCTTTCTGTTTGTTTCTGAAGTGTTTCTTCTCTAATATTCTCTGCATTTCCTCATTTGGGTCTTTAAACTTAGAATTATATACTCATTTATAGCATTATACTTCAAAACTCTTCTTTGGTACTTCTTTATCCAATCTAACAACTCAGAGTCTTTTATACATACTAACTTAGACTTCTTTATAATATCTTTGAACGAATTGACGGTTTGGTCAAATTGACCAGAAGTACTACAAATGACAACTAACTCATAGAATGGGTTCTTCTCATCTAGTTCTTGTTGTTGTGCAGCCATTTTAAGATAAGTGAAAGTCTTACCCGACCCAGGTGGTGCAATTAGACCTGTTATACCATTCTGAGCAAATAAGAACTTGTCATGTATAGGCTTTATCTGAGCATTTTCTAACTTCCTCTTGTTCTTGTTTAAAACATTCTCAAATTTCTTGTCAATGTCAGCAAACTTTTTTTCTAACATATTTTTAGAAAAATTAAAATTTTTATCTTTTAGAAAATGTCTAGCGATTTCGCTATCTATATTCGAGACAAGCTTTTCGACAGCAAAACATCTGTCGACCATAAAATCTTACATAGTGTAAACAAGAAAGGTGAATTTGTTCTAAAGTTCTGTTTCTGGGAATATGACAAGAACCATAAAACATTAAGCAGAGCAGTCTTAAAATTTGTCAATGACAGACTTGTTGACAGAGATGACGCCTCTTGGAAAGATGAAGTCCAACAAAAGTTCTTAGAATGCAAAGAAGACACATGCGCTGTTCTTGAAGATGAAATAGAAAACAGAATAGAAGAGCTATTAAAGGACAAAGAACTTTTACATAAATATGGTTGCGCCAAATTTGACATAACTCCACCAGAAAAGAAGAAGAAAAAAGAAAAGAAAGAAAAGAAAGTAGAAGAGAAGAAAGAACCTGAACCAGTTCCAGAGAAAAAGAAATTTGACATGTAAAAATAAAATTTTATTTTTAGAACATTTCTGGGTCAATGTCAATGTTCTCTTCCTCTTTAGGAGCAAACACTGGCTTAGACTCTAAAATCTTTTTACCCAATTTACCTTGAACTTCAACTATCTTAGACTCATAATATTCATAGTCGTCTGCTTTCTTTGGTTCATAAGGTATAACAAGTTTGTATGCTTTGCCTTCTTTAAGGTTTGAGAACCTTCTGTCAAAACTTTCTTTGACTGCTAACAAACCTTCTATGTCTAAGTCTTCAAATTTCGCACCATTTTTAGTCACAATAGCAAACTTAACTGGTTCGATGTTCCAAACTTTGCTGAATGAAGACTTTTCAAAATGGTAGAAGTAAACATTCAAATATGTGAATGGGTCTAGTTCTTCTTTAAGTCCTGACATGTACTTGTTTACTGAGATGAATTTTGTCATCTTTTCTATCGGATAAAAAAATATTTTTTTTAAAATTTACTCAGAAAAATTTTTCTTTGTATATACACCATTCTGAACATCTAAAAGACTTTTGACATTTGCCAAGAATGTTCGTTTAGACGCTGTCATATAACCATATTCTTGACAATATTGTTTATACGAATCGTACAATGACCTTTCATCTAAACACTCAAAGTCAGTTTCATCTATGAACAGTTCATATACACTCTTGTTTGCTTCTAACAATGTTTGTCTCTCTTCGGTATGTGGAATTTGTCTTGGATTGAACTTTGAAATATCTAATGTCATAAAATATGAGAACAAGTGGTTGTAAAAGTCAGATGTCAAAGTTTCTGCTAAGTCGTCAAAATATTCTGTATCTTGCATATGAGAATCTGACGTTCTGACAACTACATATCTTCTGTCAGAACTTTCTAACTTCATCGGAACAGCATTGTTTGAAACCATAATGAAGTTTGCAACATTTTCACAAACTCTTTGGTCTTTATATTTTCTTTCAACAACTCCAACTTTGTCTGTTATAAGACTCTTCAAAGCATCTGAGTTCAAAACTTTTGTTGTATCTATACTTTGAAGTTCATTGCAAACTATAAGTTTCATATTCTCTATTGAGAGTTAAACTTGCCACAGATGTTTTCTAAGTTTGTCATATTCGGATTCGAATAACCTTCTAACAGTTTGCACAAAATATCTGTAAAGAATGTGTTCTTACCTGTTCCTTGTTTTCCAATTATAATGAGAGCAGTTTCATTTTTAGCACTTGGATGTTGTAAGATGTTTGCAAACCAACATAAGATATACTCATAGACTCTTTCGTTTCCATTGCATATAATTTCTTTGACATGGTCTAACCAAGCTTCTATAATATTTTCTTTCCATTCTACTTGTTCGTATTTATATCCAGTGAAGATAGAATAGAAGTTTGGAGAAGGTGTATAGAACTTTATACCTCGAACTGAAAAATCTTCTAACTTTGACAATAAGATATCCCAAGCATCTAACATCTTCATGCCAACTTGTACAACTTTTATTTTCTTAAGTTTCTGTCTACATTCTTGTTCTGAAACTATTTGCTTTAGGTTTGTTAAAGACTACATCCCATTCTTTCATAACATAACATTCTGGGGCAGAGTCGACATAAATGACTAAACGTTTCAAATTCTCGACTGCTTTGTTATAGTCTCGAAATGGACACATATTTCTGAATGCTTGGAAGTCATAAAAATCTGAAACATCTATTCTGTACATTTTTATAAAAATAAAAAAAAATATTTTTTTTATTCTTGACTTTGTTGTTGCATTTGTTGCATTTGTTGTTCTTGAGCTATTTGTTGTTGAAGTTGTTCTTGTAATACAATACTTTCACCAGTTGCATCTTCCAATTCGAAACTTTCTGCCGTCATTGACAAATACATAGGACATAAAAGTTTTACAGGAACAAAGTTTGCGTCAACTAATGTCAACGTTATACTTGCCAAAGTGTTTGAGTTCACTAAGGTTGAAAATTCTGCATTCGAATGAACAATAGGCAAACCAGCAGAGAAAGTATTGTTTATACGCATAAGTATCTTTTGGTCATAATAGTTTCTGTCGACATTCGAATAACACTTTGAACCTAAGTTTGAAACAATATATAAGATTGGTGTGCTTAATGTCAATGGAATAGACATTCCTTGTATGACACCTTTTCCTGTTATAGGAAACTGTTGGTAGTAAAAACCAGAAATAAGTTTTGTATTATAGCTCATATCGTTTATAGTAAACTCAGTCGGACATCCAAACATAATGAAACCTGCTCTAGTTGCAGCACATGTTACACCCGTACTTAAAGTATTAAATAAGTCAACAAAACCTGTTGGTGGTATATCTGAGTAAGTATCTTCAAAGGAGTATTTTTTACCATTCACAACAATAAAGTCTTCTGGTGTCAAAAGAGCAAAACAGGCTTTAGTCGTCATTGTGTTTAAGGTTAGTTTACAATATCGTCCTTGAGGACTTTGTAAGTTTGTTGTTATAGAATTATATGACTCAGGGTTTTTAGTCGTAATAGTATAAACCATTATATCTTCTGCCATTTATATATATTTAAAAGTTTTTCTGAAAGTGGAGAAGAACTTCATCTAAACTTTCACATGGCGTTTCTTGAAGTTCTCTGTCTAAGAAGTTCAAATATTTTGTAAAGACATAGAACTTTCCTTTGTCTACACGAACAAACAAAACAGGGTCTTTCATATCGTTCAAAAGTGTGTAAAGTCCTTTACATGAAATAAAGTCTATATTATTTTTCTTCAAACATCTTTCAAGAAGTTTTGACATTTTTACTTAGCAAATAAATTTTAATGAAATGTTGTGGTCGTCAAATATTTTTATGACGTCTGGGAAACTATACTTTAAGTTCAACGTTTCACCTCCTTTCATAACGTATATCTTGTCAATGACATTATATGAAACACCACAGCAACTAATGTCGGGTTCTATTTCTTTGATGTTTATATCGTCTGCCTCTGTCAAAAGTTTCAATAGTTCTTTCAAAACTTCATGAGGTGCAATGACATATGAGTTCACTTTTACAGGGTTGTGTTCGACCAAGTTTAACATTATACTAAAGCTTGACAAATCTTCTCCTGAGTTTGAAGTTTGTCTTTCAGTTGTTGGTAGTCGTTTCGAATATCTGCAACAGAACTTAAGTCTCTGCTAACTTCAGGATATGTTGTTGTTCTTTTACAGGAACAATTGTTATACCATCTTCGTCTTCGTATGGTTTCCCCACTTCAACATCTCTGTCTTTGACATTGACAACAACACTTTGACTGTTTGTTTGAGTTGGTGAATTTAACTTCACATCTGCCACCGCCATTAAACCTTTTGAAACACTACGCTTCTATTTTTCGGAAATGACATTTTACTTAGAATAAAAAGATGGACGTATTCGAGTATCTCTTCGAATTGAAGCAGAACAAAGTTTACACACACAAACAATACAAATACATTGACAGAATAGTTCTTTATACAAACAATGGTAAATGTTATAGAATAGCAGTCTTTGCTGAACCAAAATATTTCATAAAGCAAAGAAAGTTGGTATAACTGAAATGGTGAAAGTTCTTGAAGCAGACAAAAATATAACTTCAAAACTTACAGATATTTCTAAAGGTAAGTTTATCTTACAATATTATGTCAAAACTGGCGTACTGTCAATATTTGACGGAGAGAAGTCAGTTCAAGAACAACTTACTGACCTGCTGCCAAAATCTGCTCGATGGAAGCTGTCGTTATGCCAATCTGAGGAGCCCCAGCAGGTTTCATCGAACGAATCTTCAAAAGAGCATCTTCCGTGAAAAGTGCTATTGGTTTTGTAAACTTCTTTGCTCTCAGTTCATCTGGACCGTCTCTGTCACCAGTATATTGTATTTGTACAGTACCAACAGTTGAAATACCACCCATAAAGTCTTCTGAGTCAGCAAATGGAATGCCAAGCCAAAAGTTTGAACGGTCTCCATTTGTATATTGAGTTTTTTGACCTCCTGTATGAGTCCATACTTTCACATATGGCATAATAGAACTTTGCATTTCAGGGTTAATGGTTGTTGTGAAGTTGTTGTTAAAGTTCATAGCATCTAATGTCAAGTTGTATGACCTCATATCCTCAACTGTAGAATATTCTTCTCTTGGATAATATTTGCCATCTATGTTTATATGATATTTAATACCGGGGTTGTAGAAACAAGAATAGTCATTTATAGTTCGTCTGAACAGTACAAACATAGTATCTGCATGTTTCATTGCAGTTGTTAAAGCAATATCTGTTCTTGCACCTGGGTCAGCACTTTGGTTTCCAACTTCACCTGCAAAGTCTTTGACAGATATTTGGTGTATAGGGAACATAAGTGGAACTGCAATATATTTGGCAGCTAAAGCATTTGAAATATCTGGGTCCAACATATAGACTGCAAGTCTGCTTTCTATTCTCTTGCATTCAAATTTTTCGCATGTGAACTTAACTGGGTCCCAAGCAGTTCCAGCAGCATTGAAATAATAGTTTACTTCATTGTTGAAGTTTGAGAAACCAAAGTCTAAGTCAACTTTGTCTTTGCAAAATCGGCGAAGACTTGGTTCCCACGTCTGTAATAGTGAATGGGTCTTGTGTTGGTGCAATGACTAAGTTATTTTTGCTTGGAGTAAGTTCGATAGAAATTTTTCCTGCCCAGTTTGGCAAGTATCTTAAAAACCTGAAGATGAGGAAAGATGACAAAGGAACTCTAAGTTTCAGTTTTACTTTGGTTACTGCTGCTGCAGTTTGTCCAGAAAGGTTAACATAAACTCCTGGAACGTTAGGGTCAAGTCTTCTTATTTTCTCAATATTTGCATACTGGTCTGTTTGTTCTCTAGCTTGTGGTTGTACTGAGTTTCTCAAAGCGAACCATTCATAGTTTGCCCATGTTACTGTTTGAACTAAGTCAGAGTTAGAATATATCTTATATCCCATGAAAACTTCTGGAGCATATTGGTATCCGACATAGAAAATTCCATTGCAACCTTTCTTGTCAGACAACTTGGCAGAAGGTTTTATTTCAATGTCTTGTTCCACGTATAAGAATGAGTTGTCAATAGAAATAATATGAAACCTGTCGCAAGCAATATCTACTGTTGTTGAAGAACCTTCTCCAAACTCACCTACGTTTCCATAAGAAACAGCAGTTGTATATTCGTAAGTTCCAGGAACTATTTCTGACCTTCTAATGGCATTGTCGCATTCGTTATACCATTCGGAAACATTTCCGTTCATGGCATCCAAAACTGTTGGCGTTATATTCTGAGCGGCGTACATTTCATATGGGTAAAAATATAGAATAGTTGGATTTATATGTCATAATAGTCGTACCAAGCTTTACTTTCTTCCTGACTGAGTTTTTAACTCTTCTTTTCCTTCATTGCCACTACTTTCACTAGATGAAGTTACTTCTTCACTACTTTCACTTTGTTCTACTCTTCTTCTTTGGTGTCGCTTTTGGTAACTTGCCCTCTGCTTCAAGTTGTTGCATCTTTGCCTCATGTTCACCTAGTATGTTGTAAATTTCCCATGTCCTTTTTGCCTTTGGGCTCTGGTCGCCCATCTCAGGTAACCTATATCCTAGAAAGATTTTGTCATAGTTTGTATTTGAGTCTTCGCGTATTGTTTGCATGACTCTTTCCTGAGTTTCCGGTTCAAGCTCTTCAAACAGAGCTTGTCCATATGGAATAAGCTCGTTTCCAAATATATGTTTTTGTAGCCATTCTGGTTTTCTTTCCATGTTACCAATAATATCTTTTGTGAATGGGAAAGCTTTTACCCAATTTTCAGTCTTGCGTCATTTATTTCTGTAGTTGGTTTTATTTTGTCAAGGAACATGTTTTTCAATACTAACATTTCATTTGGTACTGTCCATTTGAGTTTTCTTAAATATTCATCCCTTCTCAGTTCATTGTCTGCAAAGTAAGTTTTTATGACATTTTGTAAACTTTCGTTTGCAAGGTCATGTACAATAGGTTCTCTTCCTTCTTCTCCCTAACTTTCTTTCTAAACTCTTCACCAAATATACCATCTCTATGGTTCTGTGTAG